GTTTGGGTACGTTGTGGGTACGACCTGGGTATGTCTTGGGTATGTTTTGGGTACAGCGGGGCGAAAAATTAAATTTTCTCATGGGTTAAGGGTCCCGGAGCAAATTTTGTGGGTAATTAAGAAAAAGTTACAAAATTTAGGGGTTATTTTATAATAATCAAAACATAAACAAATTAGGTTTATGTTGTAGCCAGCAACAACTCTTTGACTACGAAGAAGACGAAGACGGCTTGATTTTTTAGCAGCAACTCTCCTTTGATTTTTCAGCTATTCTTCGTCGATTTTTTAGCAGCAACTGTGGTTCGATTTTCAGCTGTTCTTCTTCGATTTTTCACAGCAATTTTTCGTAGAGGTAGGTACTCGATCTATTTTTCTTTGATTCTCCCTTTACTTTCCTTCTCCCTCTTTTTCGATTTGTTCTTCTTCAATTCTTCCTCTTTTTCGATCTGTTTTATATATGTACTTTGTTTTTTTGTTTTTTATTGTGCATATACTAGAATTTGTTATAGCCTTTGATATTCTTCTTTCAACTTCGAAAATTATCAGGTAATTTGTTTCCAACACTTTTTACCCATGAGTCATGGCTTTGTTATATTTTGCATCCTGTTTTAGATAATCGAAAAAGAAAAAAAAAGAACTATATAACTTTTTCAGACAAGCTGGTGTAGTTATCTTTTATTTTTGTTTAGCTTGTTTTTGGCATGAAGCTCTCTTTTCTAATTTATTCTATGTAATGACTTTCAAATAGCTTGTGGACTTACTTTAGTATTGTTGGTATTGTTGAAGAATGATCTATTTGTTTTTGTAATTTCTCTTTTTAATTATGATATTAAACTTTGATTTGTATGTTGGATGTTTAGCTATAAAAAAAAAATTTGAGGTACCCCAACCGTACCCGTACCTGTACCCTACTTTTTAAAGAATTTTCCGTATCGGCATACCTGTATCTGTACCCGCACCCATGCTTCCTAGGTGCTAAGAATATACCATGCTGAACTATATAGGGTTTGGTTTAGTTTGACCAGACAGGATAAAACCTTGGAATTTCTATGTTTATATCTTTATGGAGTAGTCATTGAGGTTGATTGTTTGACAGAATTTTGGTTGCTATATAATTTGGGCATTAAGGACTACAAAACTCTCTGATATGTGAACAAAAGGAACTTTACGTTGTTAGAGTAATTTTCAGAAATCTTTTTATGCTTTTCTTTTATTTTGCTTGAAAGTGATTTGTCATGAAGGCAAGTGGATTTCATTGCCATAACATTTTTATAGCAGTTTTTCATATGAATTTCTAGATAATAGAAGTTTCATCAGTTTGTTTGTTTGTTTGTTTAGGAAAGTTTACAAGTTAATGGAGGGTTCCTGCTTACAAGTTTTATCGATTTGTCTTTGTCTGGGTATCGCAGGCTGGCTAGTATATCTAGGCAAGGGCGATGATGCCCAGCAACCAACACAGGCAGAATTGAGAGGAGTTGGCTATTACTAAAAGTAGGGTCGGAGCTATAAGCAACTGAAAAATTCACACCGAGACTTTCTTTGACATTTGTAATTGTGTTCTCTCATTGCCTTATGAGGGGTAGTTGCAAATTCATTTCTGGGTCATTTATGATATTTTGTCAATTCATCCAATTGGTTGTTTTAGTAATTGAGCCATTGTTTGGCATTATCCTTTATTATCATGTTCTAATATTTGGATTTTGAATTTTTCTTTCTGCCTCAATACTTCAATTTTGATATATTATGCTATTTCTATGCTTTATTTTGAAGTGTTCAATTTTGATATAATGTGGCCTGTGTTCTTTCTCAAAAATATATAAATAAATGGCATTTTTGTAAAAACACGTCGCTAAATGACGTAATCATGACATCAAACCTAAAAAAGAAAAAAAAATGAAAACATGTCATTTTTGTAAAAAAATATAGCTAAATGACGTAATCATGAGATAATATGTTATTTGTGATAGAAATAAATTAATAGGTGTTAAGCTATTGCAACATTTAAAAAATTGTTGCCTATAAGTATTAGCGACGTTTTAAAAACATCGTAAAGCTATGATGATTCTCGCATTAATGACGAAAAAAATTAACGTTGCTATAACCTATTATGGCATTTTACAAGCCTATAGTGTCGTTTATGAAACGCAGCTAATGTTGAATTTTCCTACAATGTGAACTGAATGATTTGGTTATTACAGAAAATGGGAAGTGAGAACAACATTGATGGTTGGGGAGGGAAAATGGTACAATTGCGATATTATAAAGGACAAGGAGGAAGATGCGGCAAAAATTGTTGTAGAGGGGAGAAGGGTTGGCTAGATAGGGTTAGGATTCTTAGGGGAATCTTAGGGTTTTGGAAGTACACAGTGAAAATAAGGTGTAAATGTATTGTTATTTTAATTTCACTTTAATTTTAAAAAAAAAGCGAGGTTGACTCTCAAAATTAGTGTGTTATACATAACGGAAGTTTATCGATAGTAATTTAGTCTAGAATGACATAAGAATTCTTTATTTATATTTAAATTATAAGGAGTAAAGTGTTTTGAGCGTAAATTATGGAAGGAAAATGAACTTTTCCTAAGTTTTTAGTCTTGATAATTATGGGATTAGATTGGCGACATTTGGTGGAACCTCTCTCAAACATTTATTTTAGTTTCAGGACATGCGATTGATAATTCTATTTACACCATCATTTTAACTCCTTACATTCATAATTGTTTTCCTTTTTTTTTAATTACAATTTTATCATTATTTAAAATTACCAAACAATCCCTTAAAACCGAACCCTAATTTCTAACCCACTCACCTTTTCACCACCCTCTCCACTGACAACCCCAACTTCCATTTTCGGTGACTAACCTCCAACTCATTCTCTTTCACCGGTCAGACTGGTAACTCCCTTTTCCAATAGTGACCTTTCCCCCACATCTATTGGCAACACACCCCACCATCGTGACCAACCTCGCCACCATCATGACCTAGTTTCTCTGCCCCATTGCGAACAGCACCACCACAACTCAGCTCCGCTCTTCACCGCCTAACGCAAACAATGCCACCACTTCGCCTCATTGCGAACAGCCTCGCCGTCTACCCTCATCATCATGACCAACCTCTTTGCCCTCTTTCACCACCAATAGAGCACGAGAGAGAGAGAGAGAGAGAGAGAGAGAGAGA